TGCATAGCATGGCATGTGTGGGCATTAGAAGACAGCTTGGCATCAAGCACTTTTACCCACAAAGCCATCTCCCCAGCCATTCCAGTGCATGGATACATTATGCAGTGTTAGTCCCGTGGGCTAGCCTTTCAGCTCTTGCTCCGTTCTCTCGTTATGTCTGCCTCTGGACCATAGTGACTATGAGAAAGATGCTGACTTAGATTTGTACACGCATGTACATATGTGTGCAGTATTGTCAGAGCATTGTTTAAGAACAGTTATTCATAGGAATTACCTGGTGATTAGCAGAACATTAACACTCTGAGTATTGGTTGCTGCTCTGTTGCCAGAGACTAAAAAGATGATACAAACATTTTAAGAGGATTTATTTTTGTTTCATGAGTGTTTGCTTATATGTATGCAAAGGCCGGACGAGGGTGTCAGATCCCTGGAATTGGAGTGACAGATGTGAGGCGCTGTGTGGGTGCTGGGAACCAAACCCCGGTCTTCTAGGAGAGCAGCCTTGCTCTTCACCACCGGGGCTTCTCTCTAGCCCAGTGCCTGCCTTTCTGCGCCTGACCGAGTCTCTGAGGCTTGTTTCCCAGACTCCTCTTTCCATCTGTAGAGCTGGGAGGAGCTTGAGAATCGCACAGAGGAAGAGCAGCGCCGACTGCCAGTCCAGTGCTGTTTATGTCACACGCTGCCCAGGGGTGCTTGTGTATCTGGCTCTGAGAGCCCCTTACAACAGGACTCGTGAGCTGTGGCCCTGTGCACATATAGCTCCATGTAGCTCACAGTCATGCTCAGGAAACGCTTATTAAATTGAATTTAACTGAGTTGGATTGGATTCTAGCTCCACAAGAAGGTTTTTTAGTTTGTTTTTAGGTGAGATTGATTTAAAAAAAAAATTCTAGACAAGAAAAGGCATTCTTTTTGTTTCATTGTTTTTAAACAGTCTAAATTTAGGATACAGCCACCAATATGTTCATTGCCCATAATTTTTAAGCATTCTCAGCAATGACTCATCAAAGTCCCTAAATAGCTATCTGAAAAGTCACAATAGCCCTGGGAAACAAAATTAGGTTTGGCAAACACTGTGTCTTCTCTTTGCAGTCAGAAATGTGCGGGCCACCAATCTGCATGGGAGGAACCCGCTGCATAATTTTAGCAAGTTCTTTCCCTTCCTACTAGAGTCGAGAACAAGCAAAGATCACTTGACAAGGTCCTATAGGGCACCTAGCACAATTTCTGTTTTACTGGAGACCATTACCTTTCCAGATGGCAATGCCACTCCTGTCCTGACCCTAGCTCAGTGTCCTCTGGTATTTCCAGTCCAGTGGCCGAAAGGTGAGGCCAGACAGAGGCACCTGTGTTTCAGCAGAAGATAAATGAGCTTTTTTGTCTCTAATGGAGTCGAGAATGTAAATCTTCCAAACCCCAGAATCTCCCAGGTCTGAACTACAGGCAGTTCTAAGGCACCCTCCAGTCATCTCTGCTGTAGAACTGTGTCTTGTCTTGAGCATGCGCACGAGCGCCATTAAATAGCGCTCATGTTAGAGAGAAGCACCGCTCAGCACTGACGAATGCATTAATTAATTCATTTATTCAGCTTATGTTGTGGGCGGCTCCACTAAGCCCGCAGGAGCTGAGTAAACTCCAGCCTGAGCAGACCCTGTGTGAGGTGAACCGTGAGGACCAGACCTCAGGTTGTCCACCAGCCTCTGCGTGCGTTCATGACACACTTCACACACAGATGGTTTGTAGGAAGATGTTGAAGAGGAAAGAGTATCCAGCTGATAAAGTCTGTGTTTTAGGGAGATAAAGATAATAGGTCCGAAGGCAGTGGTTCTCAGCCTGTGGGCCGCAACCCCCACAGGGTTCACATAGCAAATGTTTCCATTACAACTCATAACAGTAGCAAAATTACAGTTATGAAGTAGTAACATAATAATTTTACGGTTGGGGGTCAGCACTACACGAGGAACTGTATTAAAGGGTCATCACATTGGGCAGGTTGAGAACCATTGTCCTAAGGTTTAAAAGATCTCAGATCCTGTAATTTCTTTTTAAAGCGCAGTGGGTGGGACCCCAGCTGACAAACTCGATGACCTGAGTTGAGCCAGCTGTCCTCCTACTTCTCCACAGACGCTGTGGCACGTGTGACTAACTCACCACCCAGGAGGCTGAGAGAAAACGCTTACGTGAAGCCAGCCTAGGTTACATACCGAGTTCCAGGTCAGCTAGAGCCATGTCAAAATATCCTGTCCAAAAAAAACAAGGAAAATTTTAGCCAGACAAGGTGGTGGCGCACGCCTTTAATCCCAGCACTCAAGGCAGAGGCAGGCGGATCTCCTTGAGTTCGAGGCCAGCCTGGTCTACAGATTGAATTCCAGGACAGCCAGGGCTGTTATACAGAGAAACCAGAAACAAAAGGAAAAAGAAGACACAGTCGTGTGCATGGGTGTTGTCAGTCCTGGCCTGGATGCTTTATCCAGCATTCTTCTTCCCTGCACACAGCATCAAACCATGTTTTCTTATCCACTTCAGTGCCGGAAAATGATGCTCTATTTTGGTGAGGCCTTTGCTTTTCTGCTAAATAACCTGGAATCTCTGTGTCAGTTTCCTAGAGGAAGTCCTGGCTTCTGGGCTGCACAGCCGAAGCAGGGAGAGCACACAGGCCACCTCAAGGTCAGCAAGCAGAAGGTGAGATGGCGATGGGGACCCCTGGCCTCAGCCCTTCCCTGCCTCCCGGGGGCCTCAGGAGGGCTCACCATTCCTGAACTGCTGACAGACACCAGGACTGGCGCGACGAGCCCATCCCAACCCCCTTGTGTTCTGTATCTAATAAATGTGTTCTTTGTGTATTTGACAGCGGTTGCTTTAGAGTTTGATGGGCTTGGTCAAGATTGTTCTTGAGAAATGGATTGTCAGAGATATGAGGGATTCAGAAAGCCGTGTGCGATACACGGTACCGTCCCTTATGTCCTGAGCAAGAGAAGTTCCGTGTGACGTGAGTCAGCCATGTGAAAGACCATGGGATTAGAACTATGGGCAACTGGCAAAGCCTTTCCCTCAGATCACATTCAGAGAGGCAAGTCCTTCCTCCACCCAAGTGGGAGTGTTCTAAAAGACTAGCAAGGACAGCTTCCTCCTCCAGCTGAGACTGCCCCCCTACAGACAGCACTACCTGAGACTAGCTAGCCTCTGGGGGAGGAGAACCTGAGTGCCCTGAGGTTCCAGGTTGCTGAGGCAGAGTGCATACAACCCACCCAGCTTTTCTGTACTTGTGTTTGTGTCTGTTCTTTCTTCACGCCCTTACTGGCCCAGGAAGGGGTCCAGGACACAGCCCCTCGTCTCCTGTTCACCTCAGTCTGGCACGCTCATTTCTTTGGAGAGCCATTTGCTGTGGCATTGGGAACCCATGTAGGGTTGCAATTGGAATTCAGTCTGCAGAGATATGAGTGATTTTGTTTGATTTGAGGCTCATTCATGGGAATTCACAAGGTGAGAGTTGAGATGGTGTTATACCATACAACGAAGGCCCAGCCGGTCCCCGGGCATGGCTAGCTATGCCAGAGCAGATGAAAACTCAGGTCTCAGTTTTTCCTCTCCTGAAAGTAGTAAAAAGTGATGATATGAATAACGGTAGGAAATTAAGGTCCTCACATAACTGAAGTAAAAACACCACAGCACAGTGCCTGGATCTCTGTAGAATAGGTCAACCAATCTCCTGCAGCTGCAGTTACAGCCTGCCCAGTGTGCGTGACGGGGACCAAACTCAGGTCCTCTGCAAGAGCAGCAAGCACTTTTGACTGCTGGCCCAGCCCTCCAGCCCCTTAATGTATATGTTGATAAGTATTCTCTGGCATCATTCAAATTCATGTGATATTTATATGAACAATAATGGGAGTATTGGTCTTTTTGTGGCAGGCTCAGTTTCTTCATCCATAAAGTGAAAATAATTAGTGCCTTCCTCATGTGATGATAAAGATTAAACACAGAGATATAATATAGTTTGGTATTTACAAAGCTAATTCTATTATTACTCTTCCTTTTTCCTTACTAACAACATTTTAATGAAGGACATATGCTTTAATAACTCTCTCACCCATAGATAAAATGCCCTGGTCAAAGCATCAATCCTATTTTAAAAGTAAGATTTTTAAGTCAAAGATATTTGTTTTTGAAATGACAACTCAGATATTTCTGCCCAGTAGTCCTGCAAGCAGCTGCTCACGAGAGTTTGCTCTGATAGTTTCTGTCTTTGCCCCCCTCCGCTGCAGGGGGCAGCTGTGGTGGCACTGTCTTCCAGGCAGACGCTCAGGAGTCCCCCCAGGACCTCATCTCACTAAAGAAATTGGCTCAAGTTATTTTTGTGCTTGGTGTGTGTGTGTGTGTGGTGTGTGTGTGTGAAGTCACTGAGTGCTATAACAATGTGTGTGTGGTGTGTGTGTGTGCTATAGCACTGAGTGCTATAACAATGTGTGTGTGGTGTGTGTGTGTGAAGTCACTGAGTGCTATAACAATGTGTGTGGTGTGTGTGTGTGTGAAGTCACTGAGTGCTATAACAATGTGTAAAGGAACCCAGAAGTGCTTATTCTAATTTCTCACTTAAGCACTATTCTCTGGGAACAGTCTCACTTAGATCCAAATTCAGGTGCCATGTGGTTCACCTGGTGGGAGAAGTCCGCTTCAGAGCAATCCAGGAGAGAAGCTGGCATATGGGAACTTCCTGTGCCAAGAAAGCAAAGGTGGGGAAGAAGGCCAGGACCGGACAGGGCTTCCTAATAGTTCAGGTCACTGGGGAGAAGGGAGCTGGGAGGGATGGGTACCAGCCAGAGACTTATGTAACATCTCAAGACACAAGACAGGCAGCGAAGGCTCCGCAACCCACATGCATCTGCTCTAGAATCTGAAAATTGCTTTGGTTATTTTTTACGGGGCCCCTCTGCCTGATGTTTCGCTGAGCCCTGGCTCCTATCTGATGCTGTGCAGAGAGCCCAGGGTCTTGCACACCGGGGATGCTCCAGAATCTGTGGACCAGGTGAAAGCTCCTGGGAGGAGGGAGATGATTCTTCTGCCTCGTGAGCCAGGATCTATCGTTCAGTTTCCTCCTTACAGGGCAGGCAATTGAGCCAGAGCCCCTCCTGAATGCCAGGCAAACTGCTCTACCACTGGGCCACACCCCCAGCCCCTATTTAAAACTATGTAAATCAGGTGGGGATTACCCGATCAAGACCAGCCTCCCGCTCTGTACTAAGTCTGAAAGCAGCCTAGGCTGTGTAAGACCTTGTCCAAAAAATAAAAAAATAAAAACCTCAATCCAAACCATTCTTCTATGCCCAGCCAAGTTCCCCAAAGCTCCCGTGGGCTAATTTCCTCGGCGGTGTCCGCACACTGGTACATTTTGCTTCCTCATATAGCCTGCTTTTTTCTCACTTTTTTCATCACCTTTTAAAGAGAACAGTACCAAGCTGAGATGGCGAGATGGGAAAGGGGAGTTTGGGACGTGCGCTGTGTGTACTAAGCCTAAAAGGTAGAGCGAGGTCAGAAAACCTACATTCTAACTCATGTAACAGTAGCGTGTCAATTTGAGCATGTCATTTGTTCCGCCGTGTCCAACTGATCATTTTCCAAGGGATAATATTCTTACTCTATATGCCTTACAAAATGGTACTCGACATGTTTAAGTGTCAAAATAAGAGTGTTTTGAAAGGACAAAGTTTTGTGTCCACCTGAAAGAGAAATCAATTGGTGTGGATAATGAGACGCTTACAGGATTGGGAAGGAGGGAGGGTCTGGGATCCTTTTTTGATTCCAAAAAAAGCCCAAACACCCTCCACGCCTGCAACCACAAACTTCCAACACTTCATCTTGAGCGTTTCTGGAAAAGGATAATTTCACCTGCTCTGTGCCAGGGATCTTTACGCTTTTCGTGGTGGTTGTGTTACCATACACCAGGTAATAGGTTTATTAGCGTATTGTCTGGTAGTAATTGGCCCTGGAAGACAACACTTGCGTCCTCCCGGGGCTTTCAGCTCACCCTACTCCATTTACCCGATAGGGGATCGGAGACCGCGGAGTGGTGAGGAAAGCCGTCCTCAAACTTGGGCTCCCGCCCGGCCCCGCCACAAACTCGGGGCTCAGAAGTGCTCGCGGGCCTCCCCGCAGCTGCACGCGTGTTTCCCGCAGGCCTCGCGGGGCGCCCACAGCCGACCGGGAGTCGGTCGCGCCTGGAGCCTCCCGGAGCCCCGCCAGTCCGAGCCGGTGGGTCCGAGGCGGCCGGTCTCCCGCGGCGCCTCCGCTCCGTCCCGCTCGCCACGCCTCGGGCCCGCCCCCATCGCCGCGCCTCCCGGTTATCCGCTCGCGCCTCCGCCGGGTGCCGGGTCAGAAACAAAGGCGGGGGGCGGGGAGCGCACGGCGGCGGCGGCGGCGGCGGCGCTACGGTCCGCCCTTCATTCGGAGCCCGCGACGTCAGCGGCGGCGGCGGGCATGGGCGGCGGGGGCAGCGGGGGCCCGGCCTGCGGGTAGCGCGAGCCGCCGGCGAGCGAGCAGCGGGCGCGGCCGCCCGATCCCGCCATGAAGAAGAGCGGCTCCGGCAAGAGGGTGAGTGCGCGGCGCGCGGACAATGGGGCCGGGGCCGGGCGGGGGCGGGGGGAGGCCGCGGGGACCCGGCTGAGCCGCCGCTCCCCCGTCTCGCCCCGGCAGGGGCCTCCGGATGGAAACCATCATTCCGCGGCGCCCGAGAAGGTCGGCTGGGTCCGAAAATTCTGCGGGAAAGGCATTTTCAGGGAGATTTGGAAAAACCGCTATGTGGTGCTCAAAGGCGACCAGCTCTACGTCTCCGAGAAGGAGGTAGGCGCCCTTGCCCATCCCGACCCGGTCCCCGCGGCGGCTAGTTCTCCGGCTTGCCCCGCCTCCCTCTCTGCAAGTTCAGGGGTCGCAAAAGTCCTGTATCTGCAGAGAAAAGTCAGCCCCGAGTGACTTTACGTGAGTGGGAGTTAGGACTTTACTTATTTAATGGGCCTTTGCGGACACCTTTCCCAGAAGTTCTGAACGTCCGCTGCCTCTTACCCTAGTCTGGCCCCATGAAATTCGGGCTTTTTTTTTCTAATTTTCTGTTGAAACACACTGGTCATCTTGTCCCTCGCTCCTTCCTGCCTTCCCCACCCAGCCCACCACCCTTTCCGTTCCTGTCTGTAGCAGGGGGCATATGTAGGTCTCCTGAGTGGCAAGTCACCCTCAATCAGAAAACCGCAAACTGGAGTCAGTCTCTGGGATCTGACGTCCAGTAGCTGTGAATGCCGGATTTGTGTAGGAGTCAGTGTCCTGAACTAGGCCTCTTCCTCACCTTCCCCTCCACTTAAAGAGAGAAAGAAAGAAAGAAAGAAAAGAAAACAAGGAACTCATATTATACCCTGCCCACCTTTATCTGTGGAGTGGGGTGGGGGGATGGAGTTAGGACTGTGAGCGCCTGTGTGTATGTGCGCGCACGCGGCTTTGATTCAGTAGTTGAGCATGAACCACAGCCCACCCTGGGTCAGACTCTAAAGGCAGGTCGTGGAATCCAGACCCCCTTCCCTTTTGTAAAGCCATAACTCTTGACTCAATACCAGGAGTGCCGAGAAGCTGAACTTGCTTCCCCTGACTTCCTACATTATAGACTGTCCCCTTTAGACCGCCCCCTTCCTCTCTTGACTCTGCTCCCTCACCCAGAACGGACTGGCAAGTCCTCTAACCTCTTCTGCTTTCCCCGCTCGACATGCATTCTGCCGTTCTATTCGGGTAAATAAATCCTTTTATGGTGTTGAAGCAGACACACTTGCAGCCCAAGAGAAGTACTCATCCAAAAACTGTCTGCTGAGACAGGAGAGAGAACTAAAGAGCACTGAGCCCGCCAGGCCCCTCTTGAAGGAGCCTGAACAGAGAGGTTGGAGAGTCTTAGGAGCGAGCTGCGGGAAGGCTTGGAGGAGAGTTTGCTTTGAAGGGTTGCTGCTACCTAGTCCCAAATCCTAAGGAAAGCTCTCACCTCAATTGTCTAGCTTTCCACTGTGGTTTTATTTATTTAAACAAGCTGCAGCAAGTGTCACAGCTTATCTATCTCCTTCACAATGCCAGGAAGCACAGCGAGCAATCAGGAAAGGCTTCCTACATGTCGGGAAACCCGAGGGCAGTGAAAGGCTAAAGAAACTAAACAAGGCCTCTCTTGTTGGCTTCTGTTTGTCCAAAAGGCAGAACCTGGGGACAGAAGTGCCTGGTTAGTTGGTTAATAAGCCTGTGTGTGTTTGAAGGGGGATATGGGGCAGAGAGACCATAGGGTGACCTCAGAGTGTCTGCTGTCCTCTGAGTCAGGAGCATCTGACTAGTCCTGGGGCCAGGTGCCCCCTGCTGGGGAGGGCATTGGAGAAGAGGGGGAACTGCACCTACTCTCGACCCTTCTTCAGAACCAAGTCCATGTTTCAGTGGGCCTGAGCTAAGGGTGAAGCTGCCAGAAGACACCGTTTATTCTGCCTCTAAACAAAACAGTAGATTGTAAATGGAGCAATAGATTGAAGATGTAAAAACCCAAAGCAAAATATATTTGCAGTTTACATGCTGATGCAAAAAAGAAAAACGCCCATAACCATTCCATGGTTTCTGTTGGTGTTTCTTGGGAAAGCAAGGTCTCCCCAACTTCTTCCACTAGAGAAGCCCTTGGGTTGTGGATCATTCCCTACTCTACAAGGGCACCCTGTAAGGCAGCTGAGGTGTCTTCTGATCAACCGCCGATGTAGGAACATAGCCGCACCTTGGGGTGACTTCATGGTGGGGAAGTTAGGTTGAACGCGATACTTAGGATACTCAGTCCATGTGGGCCCCGAGAAGGAAGGGTTCATTTGGAAGATGTAGTTGTAAACGAGACGTTAGGAGTTTGCCATGATGAAGACACTGAATACGGCCCAGAACAATTCACAGGAACCCTGCTAGGGGGTCTGTCTTTCCCGGGCACTGCCATTTTACTTACTCTACCGCCTGCCTCACCCCGGCTCCTCCCTGTACCCCTCCTAACCTCTGTCAACACCTCCTGCTCCCACAGTGCCTTATCGGCCACGTCCAAGCCAGAAGTGCTCCCTCCCTTCCCTCAGGAAGACAGAAGTGAGTCCTTTTCCTTGCCGCACACACCCAGCTCTTTCCAGGCTTTCTGGACTCCACTGATAGTCTCTCTGGGGAAGGAGCCAGAGAGGAGGTCCCACAGCCCAGCGTGGGTTCCTGTGAATTGTTCTCGAACATTCCTGTGGCACCTTGTCCCATGCCCACCATGATGTTTAAGGCCTCTTGGTCACTTCCCAGCCAAAAGCCCAGGGACCCTAAAACGGAGAATCCTAGAGAGCCAAGCCTTGCCAGACCAATGGAGCCAGATGAATGTGCCCTTCGCTGCCCACAGCACAGATGATGGGCGATCCACTACAGGCTGGTAGAGGGTGCCAAGGGAACCCTGGGGCCGCTTAGACACATTTGCTCAATTTCCACTTTTTCCTGGGGAACATGACCGACTCGTTCCTGGCCTATTCCCAGCTAAGCAGAAGAGGGTGGCTGGCCCGCTGGCCAGGAAAAATCTCCTATAATGTCCTACTTTAGAAGAAAGAGCAGGTGGGAAGGGACGCTCTTGGGAACCATAATATTCCCTGAGGCCAGAGGCAGATGCCGGCTGCCCTTTTCACCTTCCCCTGGACGGTTAATGACCACTCGGGACGATCAGGTCAGCCTGCTCACCATGACCCTTTAGGGCTTGTAAGGCTGTGTGTGTCCTTCAGAAACAGAGGGATGGTCATAGGTAGAGGGAGACCCTGGAATGGTGGCTTGGAAAGCAAGGGGTTAAACAGGAGCCCACACAAGGACTCTGAGTAGTCCTATCCCACTTCTACAGCTGGGGGCTCACCATCATCCTCCCTTTCCCCCAGCAGGAGAAGCAGAGTAATTTTATCCTGTCGCACCCCAAACCTCCCCTAGGTAAAGGATGAGAAAAATATCCAAGAGGTGTTTGACCTGACCGACTATGAGAAGTGTGAAGAACTCCGGAAATCCAAGAGCAGAAGCAAGAAAAACCACAGCAAGTTCACTCTGGCCCGATGCAAGCAGCCAGGCACCATGGTGGGTCTGCGGCCTGGCGGGCTGGGCAGGGCTGTGAGGCCCAGAACAGCCCCCAGAATTGTTCTCCCTCTGGCTATTTATTTATTTATTTTGCATTTTATTTATTTGGTTTTTCAAGACAGGGTTTCTGTGTAGCTTTGGGGCCTGACCTGGAACTAGCTCTTGTAGACCAGGCTGGCCTCAAACTCACAGAGATCCGCCTGCCTCTGCCTTCCAGGTTGGCTTTTATTATTTAACTGGAGAATATTCTGTTCGCTCCCTTTCTTCCAGGCAGGCCCGCTCTGTGAACTTGTTCATCCGTAAAGATATTTCTCTTTCTGCCCCCTCCCTTTTCCTTTCCCTTTACACACACACACACACACACACACACACACACACACGCCTACTGTGCATACACATGTATTCTCTTGGAAGAAGAGTTGTTTATTGGCCCCTGTGCCCTGATGGGTGGTTGAAGTTCAAGGGAAGCCAGGGAATCCATGCTTGTCACATTCTGTGTCGTCTGACAGCTAAAGACCTTTAATACCTCAGCTTTGTCACACCTCCCCAGTGGTCAAATGCAGTGACACTCTTCGCTCTTCCTCGATTGTTCCTAAAACAGCCTGCCCATTCTGCAGGGACAGACTCTGGGTTTCTTTCAATCATTCATGATTCCAGACACGGAACCTCTCTTTCCAGGAGTTGGGTGTGCGGAAATGAGATTGTAATATCTTTTCCTTGGGGGATTATAATTTGTGTGTAACTAGCTAAAGCAAGAACATCTCCTTCCAGGCACCCAACCTGATCTTCCTGGCGCTGAGTCCTGAGGAGAAGGAGTCATGGATCAACGCCCTGAGCTCTGCTATCACCAGAGCCAAGAACCGCATCTTGGATGAGGTCAGGGGCTGTTGTGGGAAAGGGGCACTGTGGCAGAACACAGGCCGTGACTCACAGAGGAGGGGTGTTTGCAGGGCCCCTTTTAGTTCACCCCAACTCTACTTTCTCTGCTTCCTTAAAGGCCCTGTTGTCCCCCGTGTTCTCTCTGAAGTCTTCTCTGCTCACCCCCTCTCCAGCTTCCTGATGCTTGAGCCGGCCTTGGGTCAGCTGCGTCCATAAATCCTGCCTGGGGCCCTGCTCAGAAATAGTTGGTGGGGTGGATATTTCCCCGGCCGGGCACGTTAGGGGCATCCAGTTGGGACAGAGTCCTAAAGGGAGCCTGTGACTCACGGACCATCTCCTCAGGTCACTGTTGAAGAGGACAGCTACCTTGCCCACCCTACTCGAGACAGAGCGAAAATCCAACACTCCCGCCGCCCTCCAACTCGGGGACACCTCATGGCTGTGGTATGTAACGCTGCAAGAAAGTAAACATTGCCGCCCAGGGCCCTTCTGTGTCCATCCATCTTAGCTCTGAACAAGCAGGGACATTTGTGGGAGTCCTCCTCATCTGAGGATCAGAGGCTCAGGAGGCCTGTCCACCCTACCGCCCTGCCTGATTTCCCAAATCAAAATGACTAACTCAGCACCTACCCTGAGTCAGCATCTGTGTTCTCAGTAACGTCTGAGGAAGTGAGAAATGCCACTCAGAAGGGGACAAACAGAAGAGCTGAGTACGGCAGCGTGCTACATGCCGCTGTGTGGTGGCCGGGTGGTGAGGGCCAGTGCTGTGTCCCCGCAGCAAAGCCTCTCCTGAATGAAGGAGTGGGTTCTCTCAGGCAGCCGTTCTCAGAGCCTAGGGAGGGGCTGTCCCTGCAGGAGAAAGAACACAGGCCTTGGATTATCAGACCCGTGGTCTCCAGAGCTGCCCAGCTGTAAAGCCTCTGTCAGGAGCACACGTCTGACTTCCTTTTGCAGCTGCTAAATTGCAGCATTTAGAAATAAGAAGGTCTGTGACTAGCAAGGATTCGGAGCTCAGATTTCAGAGCAGGCTAAGGTGTGTGGCCAAGAGGCCGTGGGTAGAGCATTCTCCTCTTCTGTCTGTGCACCTTACTGTGATCGTGGGCCATCCCAGGTGATGTTTAGAGTCCCCAGTATGGAAGTAGATACTTCCCAGGAAGCTTGTAGCAGAGCAGAGAGCCCAGACAGTATGCAGGAGAAGGTAAGGAACAGAAAAACAAAAGAAAGAACTTCAAATCATCCTCAAAGGACTCCGAAATAGCACAGTCGAGGGGCTCAGCCGGGAGTGGAGGGAAGGGGCCCCAGATGGCATTCATCATGGGGGGCTGATGCGGGTCCCCCTTCTTTCACTCTGCCTTCCCAGGCTTCCACCTCTACCTCAGACGGGATGCTGACTTTAGACCTGATCCAAGAAGAAGACCCTTCCCCTGAGGAGCCAGCCTCTTGTGCAGAGAACTTTCGGGTGGATCTGGACAAGTCTGTGGCCCAGCTAGCCGGCAGTCGGCGGAGAGCCGACTCCGACCGGATCCAGCCCTCTTCACACCGGGCCAGCAGCCTCTCTCGGCCTTGGGAGAAGCCAGACAAGGGAGCCACCTATACCCCACAAGCCCCGAAGAAGTTGCCCTCTACAGACAAGGGCCGCTGTGCCTCCCTGGAGGAGATCCTGTCTCAGAGGAACACTGCCCCAGCCCGCCCCCTCCACCGTCCAGCCGAGGAATCCCCAGCCCCCGTTCCCTCCCAGCCGGGGCAGCTGTCCCGGATCCAGGACCTGGTAGCGAGGAAACTGGAGAAGACTCAGGAGCTGCTGGCAGAGGTTCAGGGACTGGGTGATGGCAAGCGAAAGGCCAAGGACCCCCCACAGTCTCCACCCGATTCGGAGTCAGAGCAGCTGCTGCTGGAGACAGAGAGGCTGCTGGGAGAGGCTTCGTCCAACTGGAGCCAGGCAAAGAAGGTGCTGCAGGAAGTCAGGGAGCTGAGAGACCTGTACAGACAGATGGACCTGCAGACCCCCGACTCCCACCTCAGACAGGCCTCCCAGAACAGTCAATACCGGAAGAGCCTGATGTGAAGAGGGGGTCAGGTCTGGAATTTGGGGGGCACAGACTCTATATCTCCAAATGTTGCAGGATAGAGCTTTTTTTATTTACCTCAATCAAAAAAAAAAAAATCCAACTCACTGCTCTTGCTGATGCCTGACCCACTATGGCCTTTCCTGCAGACTCCCCGAGACAACTCCCAGGTCAGATGGGAGAAGGTGAGCCCTGAGGCCCAAGTCAGGAGCTCTTGCTCCTGTGCACAAGTCACCTGCTCCCAGGCCAGAACAGACGCTGCTGACACACAGCCTGGCTGGGTTAGAGTGGGCGGGGCAGCCTTTCCTCAGATGTCCCATTCCAGGTTCTTACTCTGAGGGTGAAATTTCAGCTGTGCAACTTGAGTTCTAGGGACGCAGGGGCCAGTGCCACCTGTCCATGCCATAAGAGAAGTGAAATTTACCCCAGCCCTGAGGAGGATCTGTGGAATTAACCCTGGCCTCTCACCGTGGTGGGGGGTGGGGGGCTAGCCAGCTGAGGCTGAGGCTGTGGGTCAGTGGTATATTAGCGTGTGCATGTGCGAGGCCCTCTGCCCTTGCCAGCACTACGGAAACAAGACTAAGCTGCCTCGGTTTCTTATCCGAGGGTCTTCCTTTACCTTCCACTAAGGAGTCAAGATTAAAGCTTGAATACATGGAAGCAGCCTGGTCTTCTGCCTGGGGCAGAGCAGCACAGGAGTGGGGAGCAGCTGACCCTGGGGCAGAGCAGCACAGGAGTGGGGAGCAGCTGACCCTGGGGCAGAGCTGACCTAAGAATGAAACTGCCTTGAGATGGCGGCTGTGTGGGAAGGAGGGGAAGCCAGGCCTGCCCCAGCTTCCTCTTTCTGCCAAGCAAGGGTTCTTCCTCTGTCCGCCACCCTCCACACAGCAGAGCTCAGAACAACTCTCCCCACACCGCCTCCTGCCTGACTTCCTCAGGCTCGGCTGTGACAGGTCCCCCATGACTTGTTCTCTGAGATTAGTTTGTTAATTGTAGTGGTAAGACCTGGCACAGGGAAGGCAAGATGGGGATGATTTGTGATAAGGACATAGAGCCTCTCGTCTCTGTCACACACAGGTTAAACCACAGTGCTGTGTCCTTGCTGTTCCAGAGGTCTCACCCCTTGCAGCTGGTCCCAGAGCTTCACAGGCAGTGAGAGAAGAAAGGACAGGCTAAGGGGGGCTGCTCTGTTTAACGAGACAGGAGAGAATAAGGTCTTTGGGGAAACCCTCTGACCTCTGTTCTTCTGGGACATTACCACCCTGTAAACAAGTTGTGGGAATCCCTCCAGTTGTGATTCCTGGAGATTCGAACTCAGGTCCTCGCATAGCAAATGCTCTCACCACTGCGCCATCTCCCAGCCTGCCGGAAGTCAGGTACCCTGCTTCTCAGTGTCATCAAAGTGTTCTCCGTATCTAGCCTGTAGTTATCTAGAAATGAGGTACACCAAGTACCAAATTACAGGACACCCCGCCTGGGGGACAAAGTGGGGGAACCAGGCTTCCTGTGCCCTCAGAGACTTCCCTTCCCACAACTCTAGCCCCAGTCTTCAGCCCACCCATTGCCACAGATCCTGAAAGTTGGGTTAAAATCACAACGCTTTGTGCCTTCCCATCTTTTCTCTTTCTTGCCGCCCCCACCTAATGAAGACAAAGACAAAACAAGAATGGCATGTGTGTCCCAACATGCCAATCTGTGGTACCCAGGGGAGGAAAACACACACACCCCAAAGTCAGCGGCTCCCAGCTCCCCAGCAAGTGCTCCAGCATCCAGGCTCTACAGTGCTAAAATGAAACCACAGGGGTCTGGATTCAAGTTCTGACTTCTGGTTCATCGGCCCTGGGCAAAGCAGGCCTGTCGGCCCTGGGCAAAGCAGGCCTGATGAGTGTCTGTTTCCTCTGCAGACGGCAGAGGTGTTGAATGGGAAAGAACAGCCAGTGGCCTCTGCTTGTCCCACTGTCGTCCGTCGGGGGCCGCTGTACTAGTTTGGCTCAGTGAGGAGTGAGCAGCAAATTCAGGTGGCCAGAGCCCAGCTTGAGCGAGGCAAAGGACACAGAGCAGTCAGGGCCACTCTACTTCACAGCCTTCCGTGGGCCGCGGGCCGTGCCCACCCCTCCCTTCGGAGGAGGGCATGCGAGGTACCGGCTCTGTGCTGAAGACAGCTGTAAAGAGGGAAGGGTGCGATTCCTGTCCGCAGCCGTTCCAGAGCTTAACACAAAGCCATGTTTCACACTAGAGAAGCAACCTAAATTCTACGCTTGTGGGCGGCTGCCAGCAAGCACTCTGCTCATGTGGAAATGTTTTGAACCTAGCCACCATGTCAGGATGCTGTCCTAACCTCCCTCCTGGCCCCCCTCCACCCCATCTTCCTGCATTATCTCCCTTCCTCCGTCCCCATGTGTGGAGGAGAAGGGAAGAAGCGCTCTGGTTGCATAGGTCGCCTTCTCCCGCGAAGCTGCTGACAGATGTTTATATTCAGCCCCTTCCCAACAGCCTATCTCTGTCTTCTTACCCAAGTGAATGGAGAGGGAAACTCCTCTGGGAGGCCTGGAATGGGGAGAGGGGGAATCCAGGACACAGAGGTGAACCAGGGTGATGAGTAGACAGGTAAATTGGGGAACCAGATGTTTACATCATACTTCAGTGATATTCCCCTCAGCTTTTCCTGCTTCTCTCCATGAGTTTTTCAGGAGGGTTGGAGAGGGCTGGTAAAGGTACAGTCTATGGCTTCCACCATTAGGAAGGATGTCTGGGGTTGGTCTGGAAAGCTAATGAGTTCATTTGCATATGATTTCCACAGCATAGCTGTAAGTTGTCTGGGGTGAAAAGAAAGGGGTGGAGCGGAGCCCAGGTTTCTCAACCCCCATCTCCCCACTCCAGCCCTCACAAACCGCTCCTAAGCCTAGAGCCCTGAACCTAAGGCCAAACCTTGTCCCCTTCCCCGACCAGTGCCCCCAAGTGCTCTACCAACAGTAACTGTGCCCCAAAACACGTTCCAAAGAATCCATCTCAACCTCCGAGGCAAGCAGTCCTTCTGCAACCCTTGAAGCCTGGTACCATGCTCTCTCCTCCCTCCCCATGCTGGGTTTCTTTTTCTGCTTTTCTCCCACCTCCCAGTCTCCCAACAACAACAGCCAATCCCCAGCCTGCTCTAGAGCCACACCATATATGGAGAGGTTGGAAGGAAACCCGAGTAAAAGCGGGAGCAAGCAATCACACACATACAGAGAGAGAGAGAGAGAGAGAGAGAGAGAGAGAGAGAGAGAGAGAATTTGAGCGCTTTTCTGCACGTGACCCTGTGTCTCTCTGCCTACACCACAAGTCCCACTGTCCCCTGTCCCTGGTTCACTCCACCCATACAAAAACAAACAAACAAAAAAAAAAAAAAAACAACCCAGGGCTGTGTTTGTTCTTTGTTCTTTCCCACCTTTATTCCTGCCCCCAGGAGACCATCACTCCAACTGGTTGCCTCTGACCCAGATTCACTCCCCGCACTAATTACCAGCCTATTGCGATCTAACAAACACCCAACTTAGCACAGCTGAGACCCTCCAGGTCAATTAGTGCAGTCCAGTTCCGCTTGGGAAACGAGGGATGGAGTCCGAGAGTTGGGCACGCGCCGCAGCCCAGCCCCACCATGACCCTCTGGTTGGAGCAAGGATGAGGAGAATGCAAAAATCAGTAGGACCCGGTTCAAAATGGGGTCTCGGAAAGTTAACCAGTGTGAGAAGAGCGTTAGGTTGGGGAGCAGTGGGAGAATTTAGATCCCTAGCCAGGCATGGTGATGCGTTAGAAGGCTGAGGCAGGAGGATGGCATACTCAAGCCATACCTGGACGGGAGAATTATAGCTTCCCAGCTTCCCCTAACCTATCAGCACAGAAGATGGTGCAGCTTCAGACACAATGGCAGCTTTCTGAAGGAGAGTAACTCAGACGAGTATCCCGCAAGCTGGGCAGGAGCATGGCCTCAGTGGTAACTCCTGGTCCCTCCTCCTCGGTCCCCACCCTCCCTGCTGGTTCGGAAGAACTCAAAAATCGCTCCTTTCAGAATCCCTATACTCAATCTCATTCTTGCTTTTCATTCTGCAAGATACGAAAACTAGGAGAACAAACAGCGCCTCCCCTGAGTGCTGGAGAGAGGGCTCCGTGAAGAGCACATACATGCTACTTTTGCAGAGGTCCTGAGTTCAGTTACCAGTACCCACATCCAGGCAGCTCACAACCGCTCCAGGATCTGACAGTCTCTTCCAGCCTCCATCGGCACCTGCACACACGTGTACTCACATGCACAGAGACACCAGTACACACGGTTAAACATAGTCTCAAAAGTCCTTTCCTCCCAGAGTCCCTTCCGTTAGGTGGCAGACAAGGCAGTGGTAGGGCGTCCTGTCCTGTACTAGGTTGAGTGTTTGTGGAGGTGGGAAGCAGGCAGAAAGGACTGGAAGAATCCATGTGCTAAGTGGGTTTGCACCTTCGCCAGCTCGCCAGCTTCTTCCAGCTGAGTGGCCGGAGGGTAGCAGTCTTCAGTGCCATCCCGCCTTCAGGGTCCCGATACAGAAACGGGACTCACTCTCCGTCCTAACCAAGTGTCTTTCTGGCACCTCTACCTGGGTGATCATTCCGTTTATCAAAAGGTCATTACAAAAGGTTCTCTGTCGACCTCCTCAGGGCTCCCTTACAAGGTGGGTTTGATGCTCTTCCCCCCTTGTGAGGGAGGGCTGTTTCTCAGCTGCTGCTCAATCTTGGTTGACCTTGTGACTCACTGTGGGCAGTGGAGCGTGCCACCAGGGAAGTTCCAGACCTCGAACCCTAAGGGATCTTGCCGTTTCTACTCTGACTCTCTTAAAATTCAGCTGCACGTAGAAAGCTGCCGCTAGCGTCCTGAGTGAGAGACCACGCGATAAGAGAGGCCCGGAAACCCCACAGCTGCCTCCAAATCTGAGACAGCTGAATGCAGAACACTGGGCCAAACCAAAGATCCACAACCCAGCAAGGCCCAAGAGATCTGAGGAACTAACAAGCCTTGTTATCTCAAGTGCTGAGATTTGAAAGTGTTTTGTTACCCTGCAAGGCGCAGTAAAACAGGAAACTGGTTTGGGGAAGTAGAAGGTCGCCATCATTAAAACCTGAAGCAGGAGGTGTTAGCATTGTGAGCAGCAGCAGGCAGAAGTGAGAAGAGCTACAAGCACACTGTTCACAAGGTCAGGATGGCAGGGAGGAAACTAATACTGGAGACTGGAGAGAGGTTCCCATGGTACGTCCTGGTAGAACGGTTGATAAAACTGTTGCCTGTGGTAATTCGGCAGACGCCAATGTCCCTAATAAACTTGAAGGTTTCTGGGTGGGATACTGCAAACGCCAGTAGCCTTGCTTGCTGCATGCTGGGAAGAGATCACAAAGGAGAATAAGAAAGGGAACATTCAGGCTTATACGCAAAGCTGGAAGGTCTTGGGAGGAAAAATACACTCCCTCATGGTAGTTGAGATTGACTTATTGGAGAAGACCACCGGGACAGGACCAGTGCCCACAAGGACAATGGCGTCAGCTGGTTGGTCCCGACCTGCCTTGGTTCCTGGGAGGAATAGGAAAACAGCTAACGAACA